AATTGAATTGTGGGTTGAGGATTTAATTTACGAGCCCNCTTTTTTATACGAACAGTGGTTCAATAGCTATACCGTCTGGCGAGTCTCTGGTATCATTTTAAATATTTATTACTTACAATAATAAGTCCAATTCCAACGCCAACACCACCAAGTATCTGAACGTTTCCAGCAATAAAGTTGTAAAAGGCAGTGTAACATCCCTAAAAGATGAATAATTCATAACATAACCCTCATTACAGAATTCAAACCAATAAAGGAGTCCTATAAACATCCATTAAAGGGATTGTAAAGAGGTTTTCTAAAAATTGTAGGAGTATAAAGAACTCTGATAGCATCAATTTGTGCACTATTCCAATTTTGAATAAAACGTATGTATGGTTCTTGCAATTTCACTTAAACTATGCGTTTTATGAGGTCACTATCGCAAAGGTCCTTAAATATCAATAGCAGCTTTTGCCGTAGAGACGTCATAAAATTCTTACTTTTTGTGCAATTGCATGAGCCATGGACGTTTGACTGAAAATTTTGAACGGTGAAAAGCGCCCCTGATACATAAGGGGGAAATAGTCAAAACAGGAAAATAATCAAGTCAACTGATCAATTTACGATATCACGATCTTCACGGCTGACTCTTCACAGAGTGGTTTTAAAATAGTTTGTGTTACAGAGTAAACAGTCAGTGTAATTATATATTTCACTGGTATAATATATGAAACTGATGAACATTCAACGAACCTCAGTAAATATCTGATCATTATACATATCGTAATAAACAGGTGGCCCAATAGCTGGTATAATATTTTTATCTAATCTAGCTTGACATTTAGTTACATTTAAATCCATATGACTTTTACAGCAGCTTTCTGGTACAAATCGTTTCATATTGTCTTAAATAAAAAATAATATCATTTTAACATAGTAATGGGCGGAAACCCGAAACGTTTATCAGATTTATACAGTTTAACGATTTATTTTGTGTGAATCTTATAATTCCCTTTATAGAGCAGTGTCAAGCCTTCTTTTCTTGGAACATTGCAGTTTTCATTTTTGACCATTCAGCTTCAAAACCGAATTGTTTACTTTAACGGTTTGGGTTCAGTAGCGGCGCCAGTCTCCCAAGACCATGGTTACAAATAGGAGGCAGACTGACTCAAAGAGGGACAACTGTGGAAGCTGAAATTAAAATGCAAAGGAGTTTTCGAAAAATAAAATTAATTAATTTGGTGCATTCTGACACATATTTAAGGGTAAAAACGTATAAAAATCATATTTTTTGAATTTGTTAAAAAGTGGTAGAACATTTAGGGTGCACCGAAGCACACCTTCGGTCGAAAAACTGGTAACGACCTATGATAGAAACACGAACCTAGGTTATCGAGTAAGCTAAGTAATGGTTATACTGGCGCTCATGGACCTATGATATTGTCTCTAACCAATATTGGTGTAGATTTATGATTGTAGAGATCAGTGTTAAGGTGGGTTTATACAGAGCGCGAACGCGAACGCGACTTTTCATCAGTTCAGTTATTCAAATAGAGCGCGAACACGAACGCGGAAAACCGTCGATGGCTTTCAATGCGGATCGCCTCTTTTGTTGTTAAAATTTGGTCATATGGTCATTTTGGAATCATCTCTCCGATTCCCTTCCAAATATCTTTTTTACTGTCTCTTTGTAAGTTTTTTTCAGCTGTCAAACAAAACTGGATTCTTTTCAACTTTTAAAATCAAAACTTCCGTTTTATCCATTGTTTGTACCCTACAAGCAAATTGGAAAAGCCATGTGCACAAGTTTCTATTTTAGGAAATGATGCAAGGGAGGTGGTACAAGCTGATTGGTTGATAGCAAGAAATCCGCCGCGACTTTCTGAAAAATTCGCTTTTGGGGCAATCTCGGCGGTCGACCGCGCGAACAAATATTTGTTCGCGTTCGCATTCTATTTGAACGGTCCCTCTATAAAATGATGAAACCATTCCATGACGAAAAACCGCGTTCGCGTTCGCGCTCTGTATAAATGCACCTTTATATCGACTAATTTGAACAAACTACTGAATAATTAACTTAACAAAGGATAAAATAAGTTAATTATTACAGATTATCACTTTCCCTCTACTATTACTATTGATTAACTCTCTTGTCTTTATATATATATATGGTCAATTATCTACTGACCGGCTTTTCTTCCGTATCGTGGCTGTGTAAATAAGAGTTTTGTCCGCTACATAACATATTCGATGATTGTCCCCGTGGGTCTGATTAGGGGCCACAGGAAAGGAGCTGATAACACCAGGCATTTAAAAAATCAATTATACGAATTTCAGTTGCATGGAGTCACCATAAGAATTATTAGCACACTTTCCGGACAAATAAAGAAGAAGTAGTCATAACAATATTTTCAAATATATATGACCATTGAAATTTATGAAATAAATACTACATATTTTATTATCGTTATTTCTTTTGAAACTCTATTTTATCCCAAGATAATACTAAGTGATAAAATTAGTCGTCAGTCTCGTTAAGATTATCATATTCAATGAATATCATCAAAGACCTGACTGCAGGCATTTTCTCTTTAATTGGACGGCGTTCTATAGAATTATCTGAGGTCAGACGTTCAAGCCAATGTAACAAGATCGAAAGAATTTCTTGCTATTGTGATCCGATACAGTTCTTCACGGCCTCGTGTTTACCAAGGACTATATGGCTTATTTTCGGGAAAAGAAGCGTATTTATTTCATTATTACGTTTTGTTTGATCAATTTCCATAGCTCTTTAAGCACGTCTACTCGTCAATAATTCCCACCAATTTTAATTAAGTTGCCGAGAGGGAGGACAGTTTTCAGAAGAGTTATCACGGATTGTGATCTATTGGTAGGACTTAATTAAACTGCGACATTAGCAGCTATTTAGGAACTTTGACTAAATTATGTACTTGAAAATCACGATGGTATATCAATAAAAGGCGATCCTATGCCAAATATAATATAAAAAAAACTGATAGTTATGGTCTTCAGAAATCGAACAGATGACGGTAAAATTCTTCCGTTCATAGGATTTTGACGAGAGCAGTTGAGGACATGATGAAATGACTGCTAATGTAGTCATCTGTACATACCTGATTGATTTCTAAACCATTCCGTGTGTTCTTTATAAAAAGCCCATGATGTAGTTGAATTTATTCCACCATCAACTCCACAGCAATGTAACTAGAAACAATTCAAATATAAAAAAGGAAAATTATGAAAAAAGAAAGGGTTTAATTTATGATGTCAAAACCTAAATGCATCCCGACTATATACGTAAGGAGTTCATTTTTAAAATGTTTTATGCCAAATTACACGACTAAAGCTTTGTACAATATACAGGCGATTGTTTATAATCCCATTAGATACTATTACCTTACCATTTTTTGCATAGAGTCCCATGCCTCCGTCACCGACGTTTGACCTTCTAAACCATAGGACGTATTAAGTGATTTGTATAGTTCGTTTATGGTGTATTCTCCAATCTGAAATGCATAATTCATATCTCAATAGAACGTAAGATAACCAACGACCAGAGCTTCTCCTTCATTTTGTTGAACTAAGTCTCTGATTAAATATTGATAACTTTTGTTCAATTTCTACAAGTCGTCTAAAACTACGAGAAAAGGCAGGTAATCGTTGTATGTCAAAATGTCTTCTCAGAGTACAATGATATTTAGGACTTTATCGATATCGGGATTTAAAAATATACATTAATGCCAGTAGAGGGAGCGACCCTTGCTTTAAAAACTTCACTTCGCTATTTATTTCTTAACTTTTCAATAAAAAGAAATCATTTTTATTTTTTATTCACAATTAGCCCCTTCATTACGATTATGATATTGATATTTCAAAAATTTATCTGTAAATTGGCGTGCTATATTATAAAATGTACACATTGCACAACTAATGTATAACGGTGTAAACCGATATGAAAACCTGTTATTCAACTTGTGTGAATAATACACGAAACACATTACCTGATCTTTGAAGGCATAAACTAAAGTTCCACCAATGACCAACCCAGTAAACATTAACAATAACAATATAAAAAACTGAAAAGAAACAACATGTGTATGTTCATTCTGAGGAACAAATGTGTGACAAAATCTATATATATGATCAAATGTAATTTTTACATACCCCTTTGTGTATCCAAAACACGTTACATATTGCAAACCTGGATGTTAGGTCCAAAATTTGATTAGGAAGTTAGGTTTCGTATATTTTTGTGGGTTAATTGTGATGCAATTAGAATATTCAACCAAGTACATGCTCAGTATTCTAACTGTTTTACCGACTACACGTGGACTGTAACAAGTTGCATTGCCAGTCCAATTTAATCAGTATTCCTGATAGTATAGCATAAATTATAGCCACTTTAGATGATGGAGTCAGACTGAACAGATCCAAAATTTCTTAGATGAAAGGAGGCACCCAAGTTAAAGAAAAAAACACATCTTGAAACACAAATATGAATGGAGTTTTACGTACTACTTTTCTGCACCATGTGGGCTAATGAAAACGGGCAACGCCATGCAGGGTGCAATGAGGGAAATTTGCCAGGACAGAAACACTGACAGGGACAAATCCGAAGGTAGTATCTCGACTTATGCCTGGACCTTCGAGTTTGTGAGAAACAGAACAGATAGTATCACAAAAGAATGTTAAAAGTACTTTACTCACCGTTACAAGCATGCATTTTACTTCTTTTAAAGCACCGCAGCAGCCAAGAAAAGATAGGACAATGACGACTCCTCCAGCAATGATTAATACTAATGATAATGTGGAATATAGATAACTCCCTAATATTGATGATACTTTAGTCAGTCCAGTTTGACTGGTTTCTGTATAAATACCTAAACCAAGTAGTCCACATCCTGCAACCTGAAAGTAAGGAAGTCACAGATGAAATTGTGTTTTACTTCCAAAAAATCATGTATATGTGCATTTGACAAACTCAACAGATCTGCTTCTTGAATGTGACACCTGCTAAATATTTTCTACAAATTTATATGACAAAAGAGATGATCTAGTGTAACCTTTCATTTTGTTAATGATAATGTTACATAGTTATATACTATAGCATGACGTTTACATGTCTCATTCGAGGTTGTTTTTTATGATGATTTTTCAGATGCAGTCAGTTGACCTGTAAAATTCTCAATCAAGCTCTCCCATACCAGAAATCAAAATAATGAAATAAACATATTGTCCTCTATTAGAATCCGCATGTAATAAATGTCCTACAAATTGTTAATACTATAGAATTGGACTTTAAGGTACTATGAGCTATTACAATTAATTTATATCTATTGGCTAATGCTTTTTTTGATTGTGATAAAGACGAGTATCTGTTGTCTAGTTTTCTTAAGGTTAAATTTGTGATGAAAAGAAATAAAAATTTAACAATAGGCTGAGATAAAAGAAATTTTTCTTCGATTTTCTGGGTCGAGATAAATCTTCTTTTGCTGGATAAATAAAGAAGAAATATTGTTTGTACCGGAATAATATTTTATGTCGACCTACTTTTGAGTTGAGCACTATATCGCGGAACACTCACAACAACGGGAATATCGATCGAATTATGAAAAAAATTGCAAGCGTTGTTCTATAAACCCCGGACTGCATATACCATAGGGACTTGGAGTGCAAATTGCAGAAATAAGTTTCAGGTGAAGAGCAAGATGTTACAGGGGATGTTCTAAATCACATCAGTTCCAAAAACGTACAACGGGGCAACGCAATTAAGTTCTGACAATTCCTTCCGTTGAAAAAAAAAACCGATTGTATTAGGGTCTGTATAAGATAGTTTATCTTATTAAAAATAGATCGATCAGCGGTCGTGTTATTAGCTTAAAACCCATTATTTATTGTTACAGAACCAGTGTTTATTACACTAGGAACTGACTTCCACATTATTTACAGTCATTTGATGGTGACAAGTTATATTTATAGGATTTCATTTATTACTGCATTGATACACTAGAGTCAACCTTGAAAACCAACAGACAACAATTCATCTGCTATAATATCATATAGCTAATCAGAGAAAATTCACTAACTCCATATTTTGTTTTTTCAAGGATAACTCAGCAAAAGTCCCCAACGACCAAATATCATGTCATTATAAAACACCCGACTTTGGTTTAAGATTTAGGGTCAGAAATCACAAAAATGAAGAACACAACTTCAAAGGATACTACTCAAAGATAAGATTGCCAGATTGCAAAGACACTGGAATTCTTATTTAAGATGTATTCTTAAGATAGCTTGCCAGGTGAGGTAATATACGCCTACTTTGATTTTAAATAAAAATATTTAACAATTACCAGTATAAAAATATTCAACCTTCAGATATATACTTCTTTTGAACTTTTTGAGGCGATACTGAATAATATTACCAAGTTTCATCAATATGTCAAGAATTGGGCTAAAACTGTTTTTAAGAACAAGGGTAATAATATATTTCGATTTTTGTGATTTTCTTTAGGGTTCATCTTTGGGTGATTGCATACACCCACACCAAGTTTCGTCAAGATCATTTTGCTTTTAAATAGGGTTCTGACGGACAGGCGGATGGACGGGGTGACGATAATATACGCCCCCCCCCCCCCCTTTTCATGTAGGCGTATAAAAACGTTTTCATAGTAAGAGGAATAATAGTATTTGAGATCTTTGTCTTTGTATAAAAATAACCTTGTTTATTTACAAACATATAAAGCACAACTTTCTGTTTTGTATATTAGATCGTATTTTTACTTTAAACGTTATATAATAGGCAAGGCTAGATTTACTACGAGTAAATTGTTTACAAAGATCACAGTCTAAAAGGCTATATATTGACTACTATATTGATAACTGGACCAGTCTATATATTAGTTGATCAGTTCACTACTATATTGGTAACTGGACCAGTCAATATGTTAGTTGATCAGTTCACTACTATATAGCTAACTGGGCCAGTCTATATATTAGTTGATCAGTTCACTACTATATAGCTAACTGGGCCAGTTTGTATGTTACTTCATCAGTTCACTACTACATATCTAAATGGGCCAGTCTATATATTAGTTGATCAGTTCAGTACTATATAGCTAACTGGGCCAGTCTATATATTAGTTGATCAGTTCACTACTATATAGCTAACTAGGCCAGTCTATATATTAGTTGATCAGTTCACTACTATATAGCTAACTGGGCCAGTCTATGTATTAGTTGATCAGTTCACTACTATATAGCTAACTGGGCCAGTCTATATATTAGTTGATCAGTTCACTATTATATAGCTAACTGGGCCAGTCTATATGTTAATTGATCAGTTCACTACTATATAGCTAACTGGACCAGTCAATATGTTAGTTGATCAGTTCACTACTATATAGCTAACTGGGCCAGTTTGTATGTTACTTCATCAGTTCACTACAATATGGCTAACTGGGCCAGTCTATATATTAGTTGATCAGTTCACTACTATATAGCTAACTAGGCCAGTCTATATATTAGTTGATCAGTTCACTACTATATAGCTAACTAGGTCAGTCTATATATTAGTTGATCAGTTCACTACTATATAGCTAACTGGGCCAGTCTATATATTAGTTGATCAGTTCACTACTATATAGCTAACTGGGCCAGTCTATATACTAGTTGATCAGTTCACTACTATATAGCTAACTGGGCCAGTCTATATATTAGTTGATCAGTTCACTACTATATAGCTAACTGGGCTAGTCTATATATTAGTTGATCAGTTCAGTACTAAATAGCTAACTAGGCCAGTCTATATATTAGTTGATCAGTTCACTATTACATAGCTAACTGGGCCAGTCTATATATTAGTTGATCAGTTCACTACTATATAGCTAACTGGGCCAGTCTATATATTAGTTGATCAGTTCACTACTATATAGCTAACTAGGCCAGTCTATATATTAGTTGATCAGTTCACTACTTTATAGCTAACTAGGCCAGTCTATATATTAGTTGATCAGTTCACTACTATATAGCTAACTAGGCCAGTCTATATATTAGTTGATCAGTTCACTACTATACAGCTAATTGGTCAGATAGGGGTTATTTATTAGCCTCCGAACACTCTGATATGAACGATTTGCTTACCAATATAATTGCATTGAAGCAAAACATGGAATACTTAAGAAAATTCCCACAACCGTTGAGCCCCATTTTGTCATCCTGAAAAATATAAATATAAAATTGGGATCAGATAAATACCTTTTCCTTAAAATACCTACTTGATAGGTAGCATAATATAATAAGCAGAGATAAATTATTAAAATTCATAGAATAGTGGCTAGTAATCGATATTTATCTATTTATCTATCAGAAAATAAAATGAAATATGTAACTTTCTACCCAACAATCGTTCAGAATCGCTTTTGCCATTTTTAGTCGTGGTGAAATTGAATTATCAACTCTAAAAATTGTACTAAGAGGAGAAGTTATCTTAATCTTAGAAAAAAAATGCAGATCTGGATGTATCGTTTCGTGTTTCATCTTCTCTCAATCGTGTTCTGTAGAACAAAATTGTCAGATCATAGATTGCATGTGGAGTTAAAATAAGATTGAATTTTGGCTTCATGTTAATTTAAGTTTGAATGGATATAAAGCTTTCTATATAGCAATTTGATATTGCAGATGGGGAGGAGTCAAAAATCAAAAAAAGTATTTGAGGTCTGTTTATTTCAAAAGTTTTGTAAATTATACTCATCCATGATAATAAATATATTCCAAGATACTATACACTCCATAAAAATCCAAGTCTACTCTCTGGCCACATTGAGTTCTAGATTGAATCTTTTTCCTCATGTCACAAATATTCAAAATATAATTTTCAAGTGCATACCAATTGTCTTAGAATGCCTTTAGGTCTAAGAATATATACGTTTTGAAAATTTGCACTTGAAATGAACACACTTCTCTCCAAAAAATTTCATGTGAAAATGACACACATTTTGAGTTCAAAATCTCCCTTAGCAAAATCATTGTTTCAAATAATTTTGTTTTCAATGGTTGGCATTTTCATCAACCCGAAGACAATCGAAGACTCTCAGCAATATTTGGAGATTAATATTTCAATTCATACGAAAAATGATAGCCAAAATGTAATTTAGAACTTGATGTGGCCAGAGAGTAGGTTAAACTCTCGATCCCGTTCAAATGCTAAAAAAATCAGTTTAAAAAAACATTCATCGAAAATTTTGTTTTATTCAAAAGGTTTGCTCAAAGCTGGCCAAAACTGTGGTCTCTATAAGTCATGGACTGACATAAATGTGAATTATGAGTTTTGTTTGTGTTCTATTGAAATATATATGCTGCCAATTCCGAAATTTGAATATAAAAATGAAAAATGTTAATTACCTAAAACAGGCTAAACAAATGAGAAATAAATTTTGAGCAAATAATTAGTAAATAACTGAACCAGAAAGTACTAAATAAAAATAACGCTGCAACTAAAAAAATTTTCGATCTATGTATCTGGACATAGACGTAATCATACATGTCTCGAACATCATATTTAAAAGTTCTATGATTATAGAAGACCTGGAAAATCGAGATGATATCTTGCACGTGTTTTGAAACTGTTTCTGCATGAGGTCAAACGTGCACTGATGTACGTATGGGACATAATGGGGCAATTAGTTTTGATTGCCCGGAAATTTTGAATTTCTGCAATTTGAAAAAAATCTTAAATATTATTTAAAAAAAAATCTATATAGGTTTCATTTTTGAATAGATGAGGTATAAGAATGTCAGGAAGATGCCAAAATTACATTTTCTGTATCTAGTTCAATATGTCTGGATAATCGAAACTAATTATCTTATAAAATACCTACTGCGATCTAATCAGAACTTTAACCCTTTTCCTGCTAGTTTTACGTCATAACTACTTACACATGGTTTTCTCTATCCTCAGTTATCTATTTTTAAAATACTTCAAAAGAGTATGAATCACTGAATCTGCTTTTTCTATTTAATTTAATTATATTTAAACCTATTTTCTTGACATCTAGACATGTTAGATTTCCAATATTCCCCTTCGTCCACGGGGAAATATAATAGCATTTAATTCATTATCACTTTGGAAAAACAAAATATTTTTGTGCAATTGACTAATAAACCTACGGGAATTTTCGAATGACGAAAGTTTTGAGTAATTGGCAGAGTTGGCAAAGGACATAACTTTCAATTCATGTCATGTACTACAGACCGGAAGTGTGTTCTTGATGATATAGAATTCTATCATATACACCTTATTCAATTTCGATCAACCACCATTTGCACCAGTTTGTATCATTGTAATGAAATCATTCTGAACATTTTGTTTTAGGTTTTCATCAATTGTTTTGATATGCCGTGAGCATATCAAACTATGAAATAAATTAAATGAAATGAATAGAGTTTTACGTCCTACTTTCTGCACCATGTGGGCTAATGAAGACAGGGCAACGCCATGCAGGGTGCAATGAGAAAAATTTTCCAGTACAGCGGCATTGGCCTGCTCTATTTCGATTTCCAACTGTCGAGGGATCTTTAAGATGCCTCGATTTATTGACCCATTGACAGGGGGAAACCTTTTTTTACACTTAGAATTTGAATCCAGTTTGCTTGCATAAGTCTCGTCTTTTCTTGATCATATATGATATGGCATGATATGATATATATAATATAAAATATATAAATCACACAGTAACAGACGTTCAAGATAATAGTCTAGGTGTGGCGTATATAAGGTTAAACATGCGATAAGATATATACATTTAAATACGATGCTATACATTATAGAAAGTTAATCTTTTCACCGCATCTCCGTACTTTCTAATTAAATTTCAAATATTCTGTTTATAGATTGAATTTGATTGACAGCACCTGTAGTCTTGGAAATTTTATATTCGTCGGTAATAGCGTAATTCCATTAAAATTAAATGGACGGGTATTTTTTATTTTATGGGTTAACAATTTAGCAAAAATAATTCTGATTTCAGACACAGCCTACTAAATCACTTTCTTTTCCATGACATGGTTACATTGTTGCAGTCATAATCCAAATCAGCAATGATTTTAAATAATGACCAGTGATTGTGAGAGATAATTCGGTAAAAATTGCTTCACCTTGCCAGTTTGCCCGCTCCTAAATGAATCACTGTTTCAAAGCTCCTCTAGGATTCTCGCTATAAAATAATTCTCAACACTAATAGATTGGAAGGCTAAACTATAGGTAAAATCATTAGACAAATTTAACCAAATGTTGCTTTTGTCTTGAAATATGAAGAGAAACAGAATGGATGCCAAAACTACGAAGCCAGATGGTTGATATTTTAAAGAGGTGGTTGACATTTCAGAAATGAGTTGTAAATATATAGGTTGGCAGGTGGCGAGGTGAGAATGACGCATGCCGACAAAGACAGAAAATTGTCGTTCCAACTATCACCTGAAAAGGTTCTTCCGGATTGATGAGATATCGTTTATACTTGTGATGAGTGGCCACAGACATGTGAGGTTAGGACATTTGGTGTTACTGCTCTGAAGTCTACTTTGTTATGTAGAATCATTTTAAGCATGAAAGCTTCCTAAACTGTTGAGAATCGGAACATGCAAAAAGCAGTCGTAAATAATCGACTCTATAAACCGAGTCACAATGCAAACAAATTTTAAAAGGAATATTTATTGTTAGTGATATTATTTGGAAATAGAGTAGGAATACTTACCAAATTATATAGTCCACTATATAGTGGTGGGGGATTCACAGAACTTCTCTTTTTCAACAGAGCTAATTCCTTTTCTTCGTGCATAATTCGAGACATTTTGTATGTTTTCAGAAGAAAATTCCTATACAGTAACCAATATGTATTTATCACAATTAAATCACAATTGTTAATCACAATATCATTTTACATTTAATTCAGTTAGTATCTGTATCTGTATTTCTGGCACTTTATATTAGTCCAAGAAATGATTATTTAATTTCAAAATGTAGTTAAATTCAATCCCGCAAATCTTTTGCATTACAAATCCCGATGACTGAGAACCGTCTTACAGAGTCATGATCTATTGAAAGAAAAAGTTTAAAATGATGAAGAAATGTAATATATTCCACCTTTATTACCATAACTAATACTAAGAATATTTCTGCAAATGTCATCTTATCAGTAAAAAAGAGGCACGGAAGCTGACCTAATCTAAGATAAAGATGTCATTAATTATACTTCTGACTCCCAAATGCTCATCTCTGACTTTTAGAAACTTCAGTAGAAGGAAGTTACTAGAACAGCAATCTTCACATGGTCAAGGGTTTCACCACAATGACCAGAAATGATATCTGAAAAATTTACATTATTTGGAAATAGGAAAAATTGTTAGAAATTGTCTATCGAATAGCAGTAGAAGTAGAGGAATTTCTACAGTTAATCATTTCCAAACCATACATATTTTGAACTGGTTGGTAACATCAAAGAAATTATTCTCCTGATCAACAATGCCATTTTTATAGTGGTATAGCAGCATCAATTCTTGGTAGATAGATGCATGAATGAGTTTGACCTTGCTGAAATGGATCGATGACAATAGATCTGAATAACTAAGTATTCTCATAGGTTAATTCACTACAGACTCTTTCTATACATGTCGTAATGTAAATCTATGACCTCCATTAAATATCTGAACCAAACTAATAATGAAGACATCACGCTTGGCATCTTAAATGCAGCTCTTCAAAACATTCTGACAAGTGAAGATGGTGGATTTCTGAGAACCAATAGTTAATTACTAAACGTGTAAAAGATGGCAGCCCTGCTCAGACACTCTGTAAGGTTTCTATAGAATCTAGATTGACAGCACTCTATTCTTGGAATTAATCAAAAACTGAAGAAAAAGTGAATACTGATGTTCTAAGGGGTAATATTAAATCTATGATTACTAATTATTGAATTATATAGAATTCGTTATAACGAATAATGAGGATCGATATATCAATAGTTATTGTATTTAGATCATAAACAACCTTTTATACAATCAATATGGCTGTGTCTATAGAGTCTATATTAAACAGTCAAATAATAACTAGACCAAGACAACAATATCCTGACTATACTGTTTTCCATTATATACTCGCACTCCTGACTGAAAGACAGAACCAACACATATCAGGAGTGAACCAGCTCGGTATTTTTGATTCCGTGGCTACTCAGTGGATTGTTTGACTTTTGGGATGTCAACTACGATGTCATTACATTACCACAAACGCATAAAACTAGAGGTCATTAATTATCCATAACACCCATGTGTTTATTTTGACTTTCTCGATAGATTGAATTAAATTTTTAATAATAATTCTAACATGAAATAATTTATCAATTAATTATGAACTATAGTGATATTCACAGTTTGAAACCTGAAATTTATAGCCCAATAGAAACTGCTATCCATCACAACGAAGACAAACATTCGACAAATGTAATAAAATCCAGTCGGTTTTGGTTTTGACATTCAAACGTGATTACCACCAGAATCGAACTTCGGTTACGTTGGTTTTTTGATGGATTTTTTTTTAGTTTTTTTTTTTTTCAAAATGAGCGCAAACTGTTTTCTTAAGCTAAAGAAGATTTAGTTGTAGCTATTTCTAGAAGTAACATTTCACAGTGATGGACCTGAAGTGACTTAAAGTATTAAAATGAAATCTAGAGGAATTGATTTAGCAGGAGAATATTATGTAGTTTAATCTTTTTATATTGGTAGTTTGATTTCACTGACGCTTTGGTAAACACATTCGACCTTTAACAGACCAGCCTTGTATCCGAAAAAATCTGTTGAGTTATGCGATGGTATTAGATAACGTCTGGATATTTATGAACCTTCTTTGATGAAAGAAGCAACCCGATCGAAACAAGTGATGATTGGGAGGTTAGAATATAAATTTTTTAAGTAAAATTTTGTTTTTTAATTAATTATCCTTTCTAGACATCTTTGATTTCTAAACTTTTGCCAATATTACTCTGAGCAAAGCTTTCTTTAAAAACTCAACAACTTATTCATGGAATATGAAGCAAATCACACGAACATTTTTCCAGCAGCTCGTAGGTAACCACAAGATGCTGTTCCACTACCTCGAGTCCGGGAGGTTTAGATCGTACATTTTGAAAGTAACATTCTAAAACTTCCGTTGCATTCACCTCAACCCTAATTTACTTTGTCACGTTGAAATCTTAAAATTCAACGTTTATTTCGCTAGGTCCGAAAGGCACAATACTCGTTGTATGTTATGATTAATGACCAAGTGCCTGCCTCAATCAGCCGCCGCGACCCTCAGCTACCAGATAGTAGTGTCTGAGCTATATACAGAATCTGATATGATCTGAATGAGATAAAGAGTGGCTGAGGGAAGAAAACTTCATTATAATATGATTATATTGAAGAAAGATGGTGTAACTAGATTAGTGTCTATTATTGACAAGTTTGATATTAAATCTATCTTTCACGCCGCCAGTCTTCTAATCAGTAAAGATACTAATGATTATATAGGCCTATAGCACCTATAATCACATTGATGTCTCGAGTGTCTATTTTAAACTTGATCGGAAACTATCTCTATCAGGAACAATGGTCTGGACTGATCGTTTGTTACGACATCATGAAACCAAAATAAGCTTATAAACCATTTAAAGTCTTCTTAGCAGGTCACATTCCGCAAAGAGATGACTCTAACCAGTAATACTGTAACTAAAAACATTAAATTGTTTCGGTACAATAATTAATCACTTGAATCACAATATTGATATACATGTATAATAGCGAAGTAAGTTTTGGTACAGTTTGGAAGATACGGTATTGAAATTAAAGGCACAGTGACGTAAATTACTGAAGGATGACACTACAATATGGGAAACATACTGTAAAGGGGCTAGGAGCTAATATGATCTCATACAAATTAATATGAAAACCATGTCAACTCTGAGTGATAAACTGTCATCATAACATTGGATTAACGCTTACATTAGAAATTCAAAAACTATTTACCATTACATTGTAATGATTTAATTGACAACTTTGGCGTATATTAGTAATATGGCCTCACGTGACTGAATTCATAGACTAGTCATATGACATTAGAAATGAAATCCAAGCTATATTAACACTGACTCATCAGATGTCATAAGAAAATAAAATCCAAGCTATATTAACACTGACTTGTCAGATGACATTAGGAAATGAAATCCAAGCCATAATAACACTGACTCGTCAGATGTCATAAGAAAATAAAATCCAAGCTATATTAACACTGACTTGTCAGATGTCATAAGAAAATAAAATCCTAGCTATATTAACACTGACTTGTCAGATGACATTAGGAAATGAAATCCAACCCATGATAACACAGACTAGTCATATGATATTAGAAATGAAATCCAAGCTATAATAACACTGACTTGTCAGATGACATTAGGAAAGGAAATCCAAGCTATAATAACACTGACTAGTCAGATGTCATAAGAAAATTAAATCCAAGCTATATTAACACGGACTAGTCAGATGTCATTAGAAATGAAATCCATGCTATATTAACACTGACTAGTCAGATGTCATAAGAAAATTAAATCCAAGCTATATTAACACGGACTAGTCAGATGTCATTAGAAATGAAATCCAAGCTATATTAACACAGACAAGTCAGGCGACATTAGGAAACGAAATCCAAGCTATAATAACACTGACTAGTCAGATGTCATAAGAAAATTAAATCCAAGCTATATTAACACGGACTAGTTAGATGGCATTAGGAAATGAAATCCAAGCTATAATAACACAGACTAATCATATGATACTAGAAATGAAATCCAAGCTATATTAACACAAACTAGTCAGATGACATTAGAAAATGAAATCCAAGCTATATTAACACAAACTAGTCAGATGACATTAGAAAATGAAATCCAAGCTATATCAACACAGACTAGTCAGATGACATTAGAAAATGAAATCCAAGCTATATCAACACAGACTAGTCAGATGTCATTAGAAAATGAAATCCACGCTATATCAACACAGACTAGTCATATGATATTAGAAAATGAAATTCAAGCCATATCAACACACACTAGTCAGATGACATTAGAAAATTAAAACAGACTAGTTAGATGACATTAAAATTAAATCCATGCTATATTGACACTGACAAGTCAGGTGACATTAGAAAATGAAAACCAAGCTATATTGTCATAAACTAGTAAGATGGCATTATAAACATAAACCAATTAGATAATGATAATTAATAAAAAAAAAATTGCATTTAAGATATAATTATATCAACGCAAATCAATTAGTTGATCGTATCAATGTACATGTATCATCAAAATATTTTGAAAGAATGAAATTTGGCAGCAAAACTATATTGACACAGACTCATTAGAGATGGCATAAAAACTGGCATTCGAGCTATCACATTTCTTAACAAACATTTCTTCACCATAGAGTCTAATTACACGTAATATAATCATAGCTTCTTTCCATTATTGTTTTCTTCAAATCAATGACTCTAGTGTATCACGTGATAATAAAATCCTTGGAAACAATTCAACCCAATTAATATTAGTAAAATGTTCCATTTAAAGGACTAAATTGTCCATTGACTACATCCGAATTGATCCACACCTAATCACACTGTTTCCTTTATAATGGCTTAAACGATCGTTAAGTCTTACTTCCTTTAGGACCATTCTCCTACCTGCCTTAATCACAGTGAAACGGAACCTTGTAGAAACGTGTTTAAAGCAGAGTTTAAAGAGCGGTGTGTTGATTATTGATACAAGCTGTTTTGTTGAGTTATGTGGTTTGACAAGGTGAACTAAAGTAAACGACCGCGACACAGAAACCAACATAGTTCAATTATCTAAACCTAAACACCCGTTTTGTTTCCAAATTTAAATTTTTTTAATGGTTGTTCAAGTGTAGATTTTAACATGTTACCCAAACTTAAAGTATTTCTGCACGTGAAATCAAAATATCTGTTGCAAAAATTGTTTTTTAGTACTTGAATTGGGGGTTTGACCATGTGATTGTGTTGAAACACAACCACCATATCCGAGTAATTATTATAACCAAAACTTTGCAAAAGATGATATTTAGTTAGCTTTATAATGTCAATAGTTAGATTTATTTTGTACTTATGTAAGATATTATTCCTGAATTCTTATTATACTTAGTTTGATTTTTCTGTTATTTATGAGAAAATAAATGGCCTCATTCAATTCTAAATATTATTGTCATTATTTTAATCATCATGTAACAAGCACAACACAGGGGATAAAAATTGTATTTGGTACTTGAGTTGGAGGTTTGGTCGTGTGATTTTGTTAAAATATATAACAAAACCACCATCCGAGTAATTGCTATAACCAAAACTTTACAAAATCGGTTTTATAATACTGTACTCGACCATATAAATTGAGTGGATCGTTGAAAATGGTGCAAAGTTGTGACGATGCACGTAACAAAAATAGTTTTACTTGAATAACTTAAATTTACTTTTCATAAACTACTTTTGATTCCTATCGGAAGAAGCCAAAATGTAGCACCCTACTATTAAATATAGAAACTGCATTTGTGACAGCAATGACCTTTAAAAAGTGTCAATAGAGGAACAAACAATTTACCAAGAGAGGTAAATGAAGACTGTTTGTTTATCGAGAATCCAGAGTACAATATTGATCGTCGGGTCAATATTGCCATTTTCCCATTATTCTTTTCAAGTAATAGAGACCAGAGAAACCGGAAATTATCGGCATGTGCCAAGGCTCGAAATAATACAAATTTCATATTCAAAACCTCTCAGGAAAAAAATATTATGACAAAACTCGTGCCTCTTAACAATTTGAACATGGGCTGAATTGATAGGATTAGTTTGAATTGATTGCTGATTTCAGATTAAAAATGGTCCAGCTTATATCTCGTTAATTTTTAAACACCTCCATCTTTCTATGACAACGTTCACATCTCCTTCTAAACGCTCCATTTTTGATAAAAAGATATAAAATGTTGGTATAAATAAACACGTGGAACGTTTGAATATGAACGCTTTCAGAATATTAGTAGTTAACCCGTGTGATCTTGCAAATGTTCTATAGATCCTTTGGGTTTTCAAACAATTGCAATGACACGATTTCGAAGTGGAACCACTGTGTTAACCTCCGATTACACTAGTGAAAATGAAACAGCTCTTAAGTTTTCAACCGATTTTCAAAATATTTAGATGTTGGTTTATAGGCTACTTTTAAAATTAAGATCGACTACCGTTTGCGAATTTTAATCTTTTGTAAACACTCCTGAGTAGAAGAAATGCTACAGATACTTCATATAGTATAAATAAAGTTTTTGAAAGATACTCTCTTATAGAAGCACTGGCCTAGGTCACAAGTGGATTTCAGCATTGGAATACATCAATTTGATAGGAAATTACCTAATTCTGGAGAGATTTACAAGATAAAAAATAATTCAGAAATGCAGAGCAATTGTTACAGGGAGTTAATTTTTAGCTTTAGTTTTTAATCTGGTCGTTGTAGATACAGAAACCTTTTCTATGGACATAGCAATGGAATGATTGGTTGAATTGAAATGATTCGCGATTGGTCTGTCTTTTTTATGAAGAATGGCAGCCATGACAGCTTAGACGAGTGCGCAACGAGTTTTGGGTTTCGCCAACATATTGAACATCGCCTTGTTTACAGGAAATTAGGTATATGATGTTTTTATCGATGAATGAAAGAACGTCCGTAAGTTCGAATATAGTGGTAGATGAAAACGAATTGCATATTGCAACGAATTATAATGTGAAAATTAAAAGGGCCACAGTGACCTCCTAAAGTATTTTTCTTTTCAACCGATTTTGCTATGAAAGTGTTTAGTATCCGCATTTCCAAGTTGGCATAATATTTTTTTTTTCATCACCTTTGTTTAATCCACCTTCTAAACATTTTCTCAAAACTAGTTATCTCAAATAGAAACAATATGATTATCTGTCTGCCAAGCCTGATTGTCGTGAGAGACAATTGTACACTTTGCCTAAAATTCATAAAAATCCAACCAGTGGTTTATCTACAATAAAATCCCTTTAGGCCGCCTGATTATATCTGAGTGAGTCGTATGCAGTGCAAGAATACATTGATCATTTCTTACTACTTCTAGCATGTCAACTTCGCGCCTACCTCAAAGACACAACCGATTTTGTCAACGAAATAAACAATCTTCGAGTTCCTTCTAATGCTATTTTAATTTCTATCGACGTTTCTTCCAAGTATACCAATATCGATAACACTACTGGTTTAACGGCTGATCGTAAAGCTTTTAATAGAAACCCAGATCCAAACCGACCCAATTCAGACCCAGATGCAATTCTACAGCTTTTAGAGATTTGTCTCAGTGTAAACGATTTCACATTTAATGGTAAAACATATTTACAAACTTCAGGGACAGCTATGCGCAAACGATTCGCTCCTTCGTACGCAAACTTTTTCATGGCAGAGTGGGAACGTGAGGTATTGCCCCTTGTCCATTTGACCCACTTTTTACGGACGCTCTTTGGCTGATATTTTTATGTTTTAGACCTATTCTATCGAACAGATACTAAGAATAATTTACGAACTAAGAAATATTAATGCTCACAGGTCGGATATCAAATTAAGGAAAGACAAGCCTGTTTCTCATAATTTCATCCTCGACAATCTCACCCTAATCCCAATTGAGCGCATAGAAATTGACTTACCAAATTCCGTCAATCTAGAGAAGCCCATTGGATTGAGACACTGAATACAGAACTAAATATTCACCATAATGTAGGCATAGCACCTTTTGTTGTTACAACCAGTAATCGAGCAAACAAGATGGTCCATGCTCACTGTAAGAGCCATGTATATAAGCATGTATAAAATGGAGGTTGCATATTCAAAAAATAAGAACTTAATGATAATACTGTTTATAGTAAACTAAAAACAATCAGTACATAACAGATACTATATTCTATTATATTGGACGAGTTATTTTTTCTAATTTCAGATCAGAATCAGAACAGATGAAAACTCAATATCAGGGCCCTTAATCCCAATGTCTAAATAAAGTATCTGTTTTACTCTAGGCCTGTACATTGGGAGAATCAAACCTCCCCTTCCCCGAAATCTAATATGCCATAATTTACTTTCTTACGCAACACAAAACATCAGTTATGAAAGGATCAAAGCTTTGATGAATTCTGCTGCAACGTTCAATTAGAATTAATTCATGTGTCATACATAATACACACTTATTTTCACAATACCAGTCTTATTAATCTGACTTGAATTAAATACTTCCTGTTTCATGGATTAAACAACGGGGTCATGAATGTGACATATTATTGGTTACAAATACCATACTATGGTACTAAATTCCAAATAACTAAAACCTATGTCACAGTTTCTGATGCAATGGCAAAGTACTGAAAATGTGTTCCTTCCGATTAATATTTTTTGTAAAAAAACATCAAATATGGTACTCGATTTTCTTTAAAAAATCAAAAATCATTTCAGCCCTATCGTTCATTTACTATAAATGTATTTGGAATGATGACAGTCTGGGACACATTTTCTATTGACATTATTTTCAATCTTTTAATCTTAGATTTGAATCTTCGGATTCGGTCTCCATGCTCATTATATGCCTATTGTTCCATAAGGTTGATTACAATACTCATTGGCAGTGCTGTTCTTGGCCCAATCCTACCCTTAAAATTTACATGCCGTATATTTATTATAGCTTTGTTAATGGCATTGACCTTGGCTTATTGACGTGTATTGAAGCCGCTCTATTTTACAGTTTAAAAGAGTTGAGGACATGTAGGTTTTCTCTCTTATCAAGTACTACCGGCAATTTCTGTGCACAATACCTGCCAACGAAAGGACACTAAGAAAAGCTATGTCTTCTCTACTACCAAAAAACTGGAGAAAAGTATTTTTTGGAGTGGAAGAATTAAGAAGAAATTCTATAAAATTCAATCTAATCAAAGATCAAGAATTATTACGTAATGTTTTGTAAATAAAAACTTAATAAAACACGACCATGTTGGTCTTTATATAATTTACAAGATGATCAGTTGTTTTATAAGTATATTGACAATAGAGAAATGAACCCACCTTAAGAAGTAATCTGGTAGCTGGAACAGGTTTTTTCACCTGTTTAGGTTGTTTAAGATCTTTAGGTCTCTGTCTTTCCATATTGATAACGGTTTAATAAGATTTTGCTTCAATACTAATCCGATTAATCAAGATCAAAGAAATAATTATGTCTTTGATGATAGCCAAGGTTCATATTACATCTCAGGATCGGAATTCTGACTTAGTCTTGTTTAATTCCATCTTAAAAGCAAATTGTGTTATTCCTTGATATATATCATTTAGTTTTAATAATTACAGATTATGTTTTTCACTCTTTATTTATTGATATATTTGGTAACGACTAATTTTTCCGAATTACCAAAATAAGCTGCTATTTAACTTACTCTTCTAGTAAGATCTAATGTTGTTTTTTTTATCAGAATTTTGGTGAGCAAATGGTCACACAATATCTTTTTCACATTTATCCATAAGCTAAACAATTTGTTTTTTTAGGTTATCAAGTTTTTATTTCACAAAGGAATCCTTGTAGGCTATCAATGAAATTGTCTCGAGAATATCACGATACCTTTACA